ATCTAGGAACAATGGAGATAGGCGACCAAGGACCCAAATTTCTCCCACTCTGAACCAAAATTAATGCTTCCTGTTTTTTTTTTTTTTTTTTCTAAGGAGAGGGCCCCTTGTTTGTCCCTGCCACCCGGATAGCTTACACCTGATATAACCATATAGAAACTGTATTAATTAAAATACTGCCTGGCCCATTAGCTCTAACTTCTTATTGGTTAACTCTTATATCTCTGTTAATCTGTGTATCACCACGTGGTACTGGGTTACTGGAGATTTCTAACTGGTGCCTGTCTCAGGCAGAGGATCCGTGGCTTCTCTCTGACTCTGCTTTTCTTCCTTCCAGCATTCAGTTCTGTTTTTTTCCACCTATCTAAGTTCCGCCCTCTCAACTAGGCCAAGGCAGCTTCTTTATTCATTAAACACACAAACAGAAGGAACCTCCTACACCACTATTTTTATTTCTTATTCTCAGGTTAGAGTGATAGAAAGCTAACTAATATATTGGTTTTGAGAGTTTCCAATGTTCAATATGAAATATCCCTTATATCTATATGGATATATGTGACAGCTGGACCCGGAAAACTGTTTAAAAGAGGACATTTTAATGACATATGGATTTTGCCATGATAAAAGTATAATAATCTATTAATTAAATATTAACAGGACTAGAAATAATAGAGATTTAAATATATTTTTGAATTTTTTATTTTCTTTTTCAATAATTGACAACAACTTAAAATCTAGCTTCATAAACAATTATGACTCAAAAGTCTCATTTTGCCACACAGTTTGATAAAAGATGATGGTAATTTTTTTTAACATAGATGTCACTGGAGAATTTGTTAATAATGCCATGTAGCTACCACTTGAGAATAGATTCAACATTTTAAAGATCTGTATTGCACTCATCCCCTAGTATTAAGTAACTAACTGTGTGTATGTGTTCTGAAAGCAGGTATGTGAACACATTCTATTTCCAAAAATAAGTCATAACAATAAGTCATGTTGTCATAGAATGAAATACTTGTCAAAAGGTAACTATAATTAGTTATTTCAAATGCTTAAATCAAGTGATGTTTGTAAAATTATGTAACCAGGGCATGGTTACATTGCATGTATTTATAACCAAAAAAATATAAATAAAAGTGAGAAATCTTAGGAAAATGATGGACCATAAATTTCATAATCTCAATCTCAATCTCTCTCTCTCTCTCTCTCTCTCTCTCTCTCTCTCTCTCTCTCTCTCTCTCTGTCTCTCTCCTTCACTGTATTTCAGTTATCTATGGCTGCATTTGGGAGAAATGAAATCTTCCTGACCTGATGAGTTTGCGGGCTGAAGGTCACTCTACAGGTAAGGGTTCTTTGAATTATACTTAGATGAAGCAGAGTACATAGCTGGAAAAAAAAAAGTATACAGGAGTTTGAAAATATGATCCCCAGGTTTTCCTGTCTAAACATTATTGATTTCATCAAGTAACCTTTTAATTAGGATAGAACTCTTTACAGTACAGGAATGAAATGCTGACATATATCAAAAAGAGGAAGTTTAAAAGTTAATTAATTTGAAAAAATAGATCCTTGTATGTATGTTTTTAAAAGAAAGGAATGTTAAAAATATATAAACATCACATAAAGGTTACGCTCTTGCTGTTTCCTCGCACCCCACCCCCTCCACTTTCTTCACTGAGTGGAGTCCCTAGTCTCCACCTTGCTGACAGGGCTCAAACCCTTGTCTACCAGCTCAGGCTCTCATTATAACTCTGCATTTTAGGGGAAGTTCACATTATTCTGGGAACTTGACTCAGAAATTTCATTTGTGTGGAAGGCTGTATTTTTACTGGCAATTATTAATATTTGTAGAGATGTTGGTTAGTACAGTGTACTGTCCTGGGCCCTTGAACGGAAATGCTGAGATATTGAAAACTATGTCCCCATCAAAGAAGAGAGGGAGATACAAATGAGATGAGGGGCACCACAGATCTACAACTCTCAGAGGTCTAAAGTGCAGAGGAAATAGACAAAGGTACTGAGCAAGTAAGGGGTTCATTGTATAGCTTTGCAAGGTGCTGTTATTGCAAGTTGCTTAGCCGTTCCCGAGAAGCCCTTTCTAGACTCTACATGTATCTACTACCATGCAAAGAAGTATTAGAGAGATGGTTTGTACATTGGATTTTTAGAACCCTTTCAAGGTGACTTGATTTCTGCAAAAGTTGGTCTATGATAACTGAGGAACACACATGCTCGATGAATCTTCTTTGAATAGTTCAAAAATGAACTAATGCACAGAATCAACAGTGTAGTTGAATTAATATCCACTCATAGTGACAGTCCGAAGATACAGGTCTGGAGAGACTGACTGACAGAAAAACCAAGTGAACTTTCCTCAAAACTTCTTCTCATACTCTATCTGAATTGGAGAAAACAAAAAAGAACATGCTTCAAGTCTTATTCCCTCTCTGGTTGGCTCCTACCATCGTGTTCTATGGAGTTTAATTCCTCTGTGTTCTTGAAGTCGTTTTACTAGCCATCAGTTTGGAAATGTTTTCTTTAGACACATGTGCACAGCCCAAGGGTATTGAATAAAGCAAAGGAGATGTGTGTAACATTCCTCTCACGTTCTCTGTCACCTTCACCAGAGTGGATCTGGTGTGTTTGAGTACTATAATGTGACTTTTATTTACAAGCACCCAGTCACTAGACCACAGAGACCACCTTCTCCACATGGCACTTCTGTGTTCTTGCCAGCTTGCTAGTGTCCTCTCTATGACCTCCACCTCCCTATTCATGGCAGTGAAGCTTGCCATATTCTAAGCAAATGCTCCAGAATCTCCGGGGCCGCTGCTCACTCCGATGCCTCGAGCAGTAAGCTGTCACCTTTCTTCTCTTTGGCTCACGTCTACTCATATTCAAATCACATATAATTAGAATATACAGATCTGGAAAAGTTCTCTCCTTTAATGAAATCTGATTGGCCTGTGTGTTCTCTTTTCCCAGTGTGCCTACCCCTCAAAGTGGTATGTGTTCCCTCACCAAACTCAAAGTGATATTCCTTATATTGCCATCGGTGCTTAGCCCACAGCACACACTCAACAAGTATTTATTGGGCTGAAGTAAAATAAACACAGTCTTAGATAATCAAGCCACAAACTGACTTTACTGGAACTTAAATAATTCAGTATGTTTATTGGCATCCTAGACTGTCAAAAAGATTCGTGCTGAATGAAAGTGACCGATTATTAACAGCTAACCTTAGATACGATGTCAAGTATTTTAAAAATGTTGTTTTGTAAAACTTCTTCAGATTTATCAGAGAGAAGTTTCCTTTCAAAGACACAAATGGACAATAATTTACTTTCACACATGTGGAAAATGCTTTCTTAAATACAGGGTACTGAATTGTCTATGGACAAATGGGGCAGCCATGACGAGGAGGTGTGGACCAGAGTTAGTGTGCTTGCATCTAACTGAAGACTTCTATTGTGCCTATCTAGTGTATTTAACCCTCAGGCTCTGCCACTCCCAAGGGGCAGGAATATTAGTATATTAAACAAGAGCTGTCGAATGGATGGAATGATGTATGTATGATAAGTAGTATAGCACTCATGCAATTAAAAACTCCAGTTTTTATGAACATGGGTGATCTATGCAATCTTACAATGCCTGTTTTCACATCAGTCATAACCTGAAAATTATTTTTGATGTAAACAAATCCAATGTCAACAGGACGTCCAACTGGCATCAACTGTGAGGCATACATATGTGTGGTCTCTACTGAAATACACAAATTTACCCTTAATACGAAGAGTTATTCCTCCTTTCCATTTTATCCAAAAGTGTGACTGTAGGACACATATAGGAGATAGGTAAAAAATTATGTATTCACATATCAAAGCCTTTGGATGATGATCATGTGAGTGCTTGATCTCATCTCTCGTTCCCACTTATGCAGCTTTATAATAACACAATATAAAACTGAAGTGGCTCTCATCAGCAGGGAGATTGAGCATGTCAGTTCTTGGAGCGGGAGCTCCTCCAGGGCTTCAGAATGTATCACTGGAGATGCAGTGGAGTACTTAGGAAGAACACACTCGAGTCCTTACCTCTTAGTGTTACAATCTGACTGCTTTAAAGTAATTATAATTTTCATTGCAGGATCTATTAAAAAAGCTTTTACCTGACAGTAATTTTTCTTGTACTTCCAGGTCATTATTAGAATGAAGGGAAGAAAGGAAGGCGTGAAGGGGAAACGGGGATGTTTATGGAGCATACCTCCACAAAGGAGACAAGAGGAAGTGCTGTGCTCTTCAATGCCTGCAGAGCATAAATCATACAGAGTCAGAAGAATTCTCCACAGCTTCTAAAAGCTTGCTCCAAGGGTGAGCACCAAATGGGAGCTGACTTCACATTAGCGGTTCTTTTCAAATAATTTATCTTAAATCTAATCTTAGAACTTAACACTCTGTGATATGTAACTGTTTGCTACTTCATCATTTAACATCTAGAAGGGAGATTTACATTCCTCTCAACTTTCTTATTTATATAACCAATGGAGTACCCCTAAAAGCTGTACACTATGCAAGACTCTCAATTCTTTTGTAATTAATATTCCCATGACACATGGTTGAAGATATATATTAAAATATATGAATCTATAAAAATATACAAATATATTTATATTTGTGTATACATATATATGTATTACATAGATACACTCATATATTTCCCGTTTTTACACACAGAGAAAGATTTGAAAGTACGTAAAATCTCCAGTGGGCATGCCATTCTGATGAAGGAAATAAAGGTAAATAGAAGATCTGTCTTCCTCCAAAATCAATGTTTTCCTGTCTCACATGTCCCTGCACAATTCCCAGACAGGCATCGTTTCCCGACATTTCTTAAACAAGTGACTTTTCTAAAGTTCACCTCTAAAGTTCTTCCCATCTGAAGACTCAGCACAGACCAGATGACAAGCATGATGTTTTTTTTTATGTCTGCATTAATCTTAGAAGAATCTTCAAATCACTCAAGAGACGCAGTGTACAATGGGAACATGTGGGAATAGCGTGAATGCTGGTGAGGCATGCTGAGTCTGAAGAGAGGTTGGCAAAGACTGCATATCAGTGATTGACTTGTAAGGTATAAGGTAAGAAGATGAGCTTTCCACAATGTTTCTGGACCTTTGTTGTTGTGTCCAGTTGCAGGCTTTGGTCCTTCATAGCTGAAGTATGAATTATACCTCAGGAAACACTACATGAACCACAGGACTTGCTAGCATTAGAAGATTGCTGTAATTTCTAAAATTATGTCAAGCATCACTTTAACTAACAAGGTCATCCTCCCTCCATGTATTTATCCTAAAGGGAATTCACTGCACAAATTAAATATAGAACAACTTTATGTGCAGTCATTAAAGTTTGATGGGCAGATAGGGTAATGCATGAATAATCTAAGAAACCATCTTAGCCATTTGTTTGATTTTCCTCTCATTTGTGACTTTTTGAAAACAGGTCTTCCTAGAATCAGGAAACCCAATTACTACCTGTCTCTTCCCACTCTGCAGGCATTAACCCTGACACACTAACATTAGAACAGACCCCGAGGGAGGGCCAATGCCATGCAGATAGGGTGACTGACTGACTGGGTAAGCTGACTCTTGATCGTCTACACTTTTAGGTAGAGTCCCTTGTCTACCTTAGTTATAATATTTGTACAAAAAATACTTTTCTGCTTAGAACATTGGATGTAATTTGTGGAGTCATTTTTAAGGATTCTAGAATTTCAGTCTTTTGAAGTGGCTCAATAATAAACAGGAAGCCAGAGTAAACCACAACATGCAAATCTGGAAGACAGCTCCAATTTATGTTTTCTTCGTATGACTTACTTTAATGAGAAAAGAAAATCGTAAAATCATAAAATTGGCTTTTATCTAATAGTCTGAACGTTGGTTGTGACAAGTGTTGCTGAAGACAAAGGAACATTACCTCATGCTGGTGTCCCAGAGCCTTAAGGGAGAGGGAAACTCCCAGAGCTGGGCAGCTGGTAACCGAAAACTACCCTGTCAATGTCAACCATGGGCCATCTCCCTCATTTGCCAGAGAAAACATAGCCACACTTTGCTTATAGCGTCTGGTGTCAGAATGACCAAACTCTTGGCTCCCCTTCGTTTAGGACTGGGGCAAGAGGGCCAAGGCATACAACCAGCATGCCCACCCTGCCAGCTGCAGGCCAGAAGGAAGCAAAGAATGCTGCAAATTGCGAGTCATTGCTTTGAAGTATTCAGAGGCCAAAATAGGACAAAGGATTTTTTTAATTATTAAGAGAAGAAGCAGCAGCAATTACCCCTCCTTGTATTTCATTCTGAGTGTGTGGAGATCTGAAAGCAAAGCTTGTCGTACCTTGTAAACGCTGGAGAAAGAGACATAAGAACCCTTCCCTTTTAAGTTATCTTCAGCACTAATTTACTCAAAAAAGTAAGCAACTCAAGATACCATATAAACAAACTGCTAATAAATGATGGTGTAAACAGCATTGCATGAGGACAAAGATAAAGGAATGAGAATATCAAAGAAGAAGTAAATGAGAGTTTTAGAGCTTCACTATGTATAGAGGCACCCCAGATGGGGTTCAATGCAAACTTCACCCAGCAGAAGAAAAGCTTCATACTTAGGAAACACTGATGATTAAAATTCAATGAAGGAAAATCTTGTCACCTACAGAAACCCTGACTCATAGTCCACAAAAGTTTTTAAACTAGAGGGGCTCATCTCTCTATGACATTCTTCCTTCAAATACGTACCCCAATGAAATCACAAGTAAACACTGGTCAAGGCAAAACTGACATATAAGTTAACAAAAATACCTGACGTGCTTTTAAAAGTGTCAGCATCATGCAAAATGCTGGTCAAGGAACTGTCACAGATCATGGGAGGAAGTCAAGGAGACATGAGATTAGTTGTGCATATGACACAGCCTCCCAGAACGGGAACAGCCAACACCAGAGGAAGAAAGTCTGTTCGGTTCTACTTGGTGTTTATCCCTTAGTTGTAATGAATGAAGAATTATTGTGGGAGCTGAGAGCCGCAGAAAAGGTCAACCGAGAGCTGTGTGAGACGTTGCCTTACTACTGGGGAAATGCTTTCATGGGTCTAATAATTTGGTTTAAAATCTGAAAAAAGCCATCCAGAACTATTTGCTCCTGGAAGACAATGGAGGAGGCACACCTTCAAAATTATTTAGGGAAAGTGATGTTCAGTTTATCCTCACTGGATCTGTCAGCGATAAGGATCAAAGGATCATTGTTTCATATTATTGAAAAAAATTTGAAAATTCAACTTTCGACAGCATTTTCTTAGATACTCGTTTCATGATCTATTCTAGACAATGAAAGACCAAACCAGTAAAAAACAGGGACATGGAAAAGTAGGGGGAAACAGTGTGAGAAGCTAAAAAGTTCTATAATAACAATAACAATAATTATGATAGTATTAATATGATAATAATATCATTTATGTTTGAAAAATTTTAAATAATTTGTTTATCTGGATTAAGAGATGCCTATTGTCAGATGTCAATGTAAACATATAAAAAAGTACTCAACTGAATAGATTCGTGAACGACTGATGCCTTGAGAAGTCATCTTGTGAAGGACAGAGGAAAACCAGAAGGGAGAAACAGAGGGAGAAAGAAGAGGGTGAAGGAAGGAAGCAAGAAAACTGAGAGCAAGGGAAGGGTCCAACTAAACCATAGGTTTCTACAAAATGAAAATGACCCAGAGCATGGATTCCTTTCTGCTCCGTCCAGTTTCTTCTTTACATAAAGAAACCACAGCCACAGAACTGGTTTTCAAAACACAATAAGATTTGCCCAGGGGTCAGTGCTGCAGTGAGACAGCTAAGAATCAACAAGATCCTTCCATATGTCGTCCTGAGAAAAGAAGCAGCATGCTCCAGAACACGGGGTTCAATGAGAATAAGCACCTGAGAAAGTTCAGGGATGAAATGGAACAAGCAGAATTCATAAAGTCGAGGTGGATGGGATGAAGGGGACAGAGAGGGACTATGTTAGGAAGACATACTTGTGGAAGTAAGGGACATTTTTTAAATTGATAATGTATATTTTTAAATGTCAGTTGTATTTCTAAGACATAACAAAGTGCTTTGTAATACAAAATGATAATCTCTAAAATAACGATTTTGAATGACTTTTGGCAAATGGTTAGAATTAGGTAAAAAGCAGGCATAGATGAATTTAGTTTCTGTGTTAAGAACTAGTTTGGCCCAGATTAAAGGAGTGCCAGTAGGAAAATTCATGGACACCAAGGTTCATGGAGACAAACAAGGGCGTGATTTTATGGTTATTTGAACTTGAAAAAGCAAAGGAGCAATGAAAACACGTCTAGTTTGTGACTAGAGCCACTTCCTAGAAAGACTTTCCTATCGTCCAAAGCAGACAAAGACTCATCAGTGTTTGCATCATGGTGACTGAAGGAGGAGCTAACTGCATTGTGGATTTCTGGGAGATCCAGTTAGACATTTGCATATAGGACTTCAAGCACCTATTAACGACATGGCTGTAAACATTTTTGGATAGCATCATGTGAGAAGTCATCGCTTTGAGCATTGTGACCCCAATGAAAGTTGTAATTTTGTGTGGTTGTCAGGCTTCTTTCTCTTCCCTTGAGAGAATAAGGCAATCAGCACTTCAAACATTTCGCGAAGTACCTTTAGCTATAAAAGTCCGTTCCCTGTCCATTCACAGATTCATCCAGTAGATGTCTGCTGAGAGTGACCAGAGATACAAAACTAATCATAAAGATGATCCCCATTTAAAGAAAACCCAATCCCCCTCCTCCCCATGTAGGGATACACTGTTCTTTTGGGGCCACGAAGAAACGGTAATGCAAATCCAGGTGGAAATATTCGAATGGGTTGTCATTTATACTAATATAGCATGGACAAGTCTAAATTATGTCCCCTTTCCAATTTTGTTGTTTTGGCCGATGAATTAACTCTTCTCATACTGAGGCTTCATTTAACCAACCAGCATGTAAATATACTTAGGATTTCAACAGAAAATACCATACTCCTCAGGAGAGCTGGCTTATTAGCTCATGTTCTGCTGAGAGATGATAACAGGAACCAGAAAGCCTAGGGAAAGAGTTTGATGGGGCAGGAAGGGGGAGACAGTAGACTGTGTGGCACATTGGCTTGTCTGCATTTGTATGACAAACACTTCAGGCACTGTTCCTTCACATATTGTTTTTTAGAACTGTTCCTAAACACCTTATTTTTTAGAACCATGGATATTTTTGACTCTGTCATATCTAATCTTCCTTACTGTTATTATTCTGAGGTTATGTCAGTATCATATGATATTTGTTGAACAACTACATGTGTTCTGATATTGCAGACTAAGTTAGCAAGCTAGTGTGGCTCAGGGAGGTCCAGCCTTTACCTTTTGTGTTGAGGAATTACAGGGAAGCCTTTAGTAGAGGTTTTAGGAGAGGAGGTATATGCTTTCAGGATGAGAATGGGGGCAGAGAAACAAGATAGAGTATCAACTAATGGGCTGGAGTCAGCAGTTGCAGAGGTAATTCTGGGAAGATGAAGAGTTACTGCTTCATAAATAGGGTGAAGTTCCAAGTGTCACATGTGAAGATAATAAGCCAAAAACACTGGCATCTCCTGGATTGCATACAAGCCCAGTAAATCTTCAGTAATGCTCTGGATTTTCTATCTGTTTCATAAAAGGGCTGCAGACGTTTTGAATACAAAATGATTAAACACAGATGAAGGGCTGATTCTCTTCCTCACAGGAAGCAATGAAGAGGCTTCTAAAAATGCAAGCTTTGAGTTGTTAGGACTTAAATTAAGGCTCTGGTAATAAATCATAATTATATAGAAGAATAGAAAATTATTCCATAGTTGAAGAAAGTTGCCTTAACTCTTTTTTTTTTTTCTGCAAGCAGCATACGCAGAAAGACATACCACTAATAAAGCTACCATTCAGTTTGTTTTAAATGTAACAATTTTGCTCACACTTAACTGAAGCTACAACAGTGAAGGCAGTTTTGAATCAGGCAAGGCAGGATCTGCACAGGAGACAAGGGGCTGCAGAAGGCATTCCCAAGGGGTGGAGAAAAAG